TCCAGGTAATAAATCCCATAGTGGATGACTTTCCAGCTGGGGGTTATTGTATGTAAGGCTAGGCAATTTAACTTCTTGTTAACGTGTATGACACTAGAATTCATGGCTTGCCCAGGACTTTAAGCTTCATTTGGTCCAAAATCCTAGATTTACCCTATAAACATTAGAATTATATATCCCTCTTCAGTTCCAAACTACTGTATTCTTAAACTTCTTAAACTGATATACCTAGCCACAGGTTATTAATAGTGTTCAGCCGAAAGACAAAGACGAAATTGCCAAATGGTGGAGTTCATGTCTTTTAAGGGTTAAAATTTCCTAAATCTTAATCTGATCCCCCAATAATTGGAAAGTAGCATGATGCTTAAAAGTATTCATTCTGAGGGTAGAATTCTTGAGTCCAAATCCTGGCTCTGCTATTTTGTAGCTGTGTGACTTTGGGAAAGCTTCTTATTCTCTTTCTGCCTCAGTTTCTCATCAGTAAAATGAGAATAATAATAGTGTCTATATCACAGGGTGGTTGTAAAGAGTAAATAAATCAATACTCATAAAGTATATATAATTATGCCTTGTGCACAGTAAGAGTCCAATATACATTAACCATTATTGTTAATAAAATATCACAAAAGTATTTTTCAGCAAGGTAAGAGAGATATCGCAAAGCAAGTTTAGTCAGGTATCAATGACTAGACTGCAAAAAATTAAAGCAATAACAGAAATAATGAGTCATTAAGATGGGACCAGAAGAAGATAACTGCAAGAGAAAACTACAGAAATATATGAGAAGAAAGGACAATTTTCTGTTCAGAAAAATAAATTGAACATATATGCTTACCTTCTCTTTCTCTCAAAATATTCCTGAAATGTCAAAAAGATTGAGGAAAGGGAATAAACCTATAACAACACTGAAATTGGGAAAGGGACCATTAATATACCAGAAACGCTGAGGAATATCTGTAAAGACAGAGGATGGATAGAATTGTATTGAGGAATAAATCAAAATGATAGACAGCATAGCAATAGGCTACAGGGGGAAAGGAAGCCATTTTTCCTAGAGGAACATAAGAGAGGCTTCAAGTTTAGAGTTGGCAGATACAGAGGGAGGAAGTGACACATTGTACAGTAATCACAATGATTAATAGAAGTATTGTATATGAAAGAGTTAGGCCTGATCTTCTATCCCATAAAACATTTACAGAGAGACTGACGACAACATGCAGAGCCTCCAGGAAAAAGTGGAGCTCTCTCAAAATAAATTCGACTTCCGGATAATTAGGAGATTTATGGCACCTATAGTGGATGTCCATGCTCCAGAATAAATCCCCCCTTACTTTTGCATTACATTGGATTTGGCTTCTCCTCTCTTTACCATAAAGTAAAGCATTTGTATTGCTATGACTTGCCCACTTACTGAAGACTTTTTTCTGCCTTTTAACCAGGCAAACAATTTGATGGAAAAACAAACCCAAACCTGCACAATATCCAGAGAAACCCTTATCTCTTGCTTATTCTACAAGAAGTACTTCATTCATTACATATGAATAAATGAGAATGAAAAATCAGAAATATTTAAAGAAAGCCATCAGGTTGAAAGAAAATAACCCAATAAAAAATAAAAAAGAATAAAGATTGAGGAGAGATAAAACAATTTAAAGGAAAATAGAATTTAAAAATAAGCTCATACTATAAAAGAGATATTTGAGAAAGCATGCATCCGTAACACAAAACAGGATGCTATTATGAAAGAAAAATACATAAAGAATGAAGAAGAGAAGGATGGAAGGAAGTGAGGGAGGAAGAGAGAAAAAGAGGAAGGAAGGAACAAGGAAGGGAGGAAGGAAATAATTAAAGAATAACACAAAGTTCTTGGAAAACAAAGCTAGAAATACCAATTTAAAAATTGTATAGAAGACTAGAAGAGGAGTAAAGGACAGCTACAAGTATAAGAAAGTAAGAGACAGAAAAGGACAAAAAATATAAATCATAATCATAAGGGATACAAAGTATCAGTCAAGCAGGTCCAGCATCTTTCTAATAGGAGATTCAGAAAGAGAGAATGGAGCTGGGTGTGATGGCACATGTCTGTAATCCTAGCGAATCAGGAGGCTGAGGTGGGAGGATCACTTGAGCCCAGGAGTTCAAGATCAGCCTGGACAACATAGCGAGATTCTGTCTTTAAAAAGAGAGAGAGAGAGAGAGAATGGAAAAAGTAGAGAAAACAGAATGGAAAAAATAGCAGAAAAGGAGGCAGGGAAGAATAGTTAAAAGACTAGTTTTCAAAATAAAAGGGCCTACTGAATGCCAAGTAGATTGAATGATGAAAAAGAACCCCACGTTCAGATTTTACTTCATCAAATTGCATAATAGGAGAACAGCAGAGATATGGGAACCATAAAAGAATTCTGAGAGAATGAACACGTTATTCACAAAATATGGCATCAGACTTCTCATGAGAAATACTAAATAATTCTAGATGATGGAGTAATACAGGAGACACTAATGAGGGGATTTAAATATCAGCAGCAATACATGACCTTGGAGGTCTCTTCTTAGCCTGAGAGTCCATGATCCCCAAATTCCAAACCAAGACATGGCTCCGAATAGCATTGTTAGCTGGGCAAAGTTAATCTTTATTCAAAGTTTTTTGGTTGTGGGCAGCTTCCTTCCCAGGGTTAGAAAAGCTCTCATACTCCTCCAGAACTGCCTTTCCCCAGGCATCCAAGAATGTATTACAAGAGACTTCAAGAAGTTTATATTTATTTGGTCCAGTGATCCTACCTATGAGAAACTTCCTATGTAGTATCCAGAAATATCTGCTACCATTTGTAAGTATTTATAAGCATGTCTTCATTATTTATGCCAACAAAGAATAACAAAATAATGTAAGTAAATGCTCAAAAATTAATGTGAATTTTCAAGTAAATAATAATACATGTATGCAATAACACTATACAACAAACTAGCAATTACTATTACAGTA